GAAGTGAAACCGTCAAATTGTGAAACGGAACCTCGCGCGCTGATTGGCTGAACAGAACGTGCCCCGCGCCACCATATTTGTTTGTTAATTCGTTTGTTATCGAATGTAAACTGATTGTTTTGATGAATGTAAATTGTTGTCGTGTTGAAAATAACTCACAGCTTTAGAATAAATTATATGAAAATGTTGGAAAGTAAAATTAATCTGTGATTGACCAAAGAAGTTTGAATGATAACTAATTTAGTGTTTGAAATGAAATGAAAGAAAATTTCATTACTTTTTCAATTTTAATTTATGTTTGAGGAGAAAATATTGTTACGTTTCAGATTTTTTATTTTGTTGTATAAATTTGTGATGTCAGAATTATTGATTACCTACTAAGTAATGAATAAATACTTGATGTCACAATTCTTGAAGTGCATTCAGTTTATTTGACTGATACCTGTGTTTCATTCCTAACTCTATGGACATAGAACGGTCTACTATAAAGCAGACCAATCAGGAACAGCCTTCGGACAGTTAACAATTTGACAATTTTAAGATTGTAATTTGACGGTTTCACTTCGATAGATTACAATCTACCGAATAATATTACGTTAAATTGTAAGCAGTACGTTGAGTTGACAATCTTTCGACAGATTACAATCTCGCAAGATAGATTACAATCTTACGGTGTTTACAATTTTACGGTGACATACACAAGAAGTAGGAATAGACTTGCTTTTACAGCTTTCAGACTTCATAAAATTGCTCACTCATTTATGGGGAAATATATACAGATATATAGATATATAGCAAAATTCCAAAACATGTAACCAAGCTTCCTTAACATAAGTTTAAACATTACATCAAGGAAACCCTAATTAAAAAAGCATATTACAAAGTTCAGGAATACATAGATGATAAGAATGTGTGAGAATGCCGCTATAAGATGCCGCGAAAATTTGACATACATAAGTTTACAAGTTGTACCTAAACGAATAAATGACTTTTGAATTTTTGAATAGAAAAAAGGTTTACATGAACAACCCAATACACGCATATTCAATTCACTCGATTGCATCGTAAACAAAAGAACCAACTATTTATTGCATTGTTGCTTTACGGGAATATATGAGAGCTACGTGCTTTGGCCTTAATTCCAAAACGCCGGGAAATAATTAACTTTCGTCAGCCATTTGGAATCCACTGTTACTAAAGTGTATAAATGAAGTGTTACGATTAATTTTTATGGAAATTTTAGATATGTGAATTATCTAATTGGTTCGTTTATTTCGTATCGAAGCTTTTTAAAAGCTTTATTATAAAGCATTGGTTATTTTTATTGGTATTTTGACGTGACAACAACGATCTCATTGTCCTGTCACGCTCATTGTACGCTTGCTCCGCATCTATCTCTCTTCCATTAGATTGGCATATACGTCCGAGGATTCACTCCTTTGTATCCAAACCATAAAAATAGTGATAATTCAATTAAAATGATTGAATTTTATACATAAAAGTCTGCTATCATATCATCAATGTTTTGTTATGACGTTTTCATGTTAAACTATCGTCCATAAACCGACTTTATTGACAAGCATTTTTTTAAATACCAATGTCTTTAAAACAATCTATCAAGTCAATGAATTTAATTAAGACTAATTAGTAATTTAAGTCCCTAATTTACTAAAAAGGATATTTAACATAATAAATTGTCCAATAACACTACTTACAGTCTCTAATAAATGGAAGACACTCCGTTCTTGGTTTCCATTTGTTCACTTAGCGATGTTTAGCACTTAAGATCGAAAATATAACATAAAACATATGCACATCAAAAAAGTGGATGTTGTGTGAGCTTTTAATAATTGTAAGACAAAAATGGATCATAAATCGCAAATGGACAAAGTTTTTGATTAAGTACTCTTTTCGATTTATATTTTTGGGCCAAAACGGAATTTTTAAATTATAGTTTTCGTTATTGGTTCATAATTTTTCTCCTCTTTTGTGTTATTGTGATGTTATGTGTAGCCCTAGTGATACTACGTATAAGTACTAGTGGTTCCACGGTATCCAATTGTCCATAATCGGCGAAAAGGAGAGCGTGGGACACTTTAAGTTACATAAAATTCAGAAACAATCTAGACTTGTAAGATACCAAACCGGTGCAGGTCCTCCCATACGACCTCCAACTATTCAAAGCTAGAGTGTACTCCTCCTTTAAAGGCCGGCAACGCAGCCACTAAAATTGAGTTTCCATGGGCTGCGATAACTGTCCGAAGGCTCATTTATATAAAAACCGCATTATCATTAGCTTAAGTGCGAATTTCAACCCTAAAATTATACTAACACAACACAGTTTTAAACACATAAATTATTTCTAGTTACGCATTTTTACACAGTGAAAGAATGTAGTTATTATCGACGAAAAAGGCTGCTTTTAAAAGCATGGTCAAAAATATACACAAATAGTGTTAGTGTCATTGAATTATCAAAATAAATATGCTATCTTGCTCGAATATCGATATTTATCTGCAATAAATCTTAAAATATCTCGTTAAATTACTATATTATATACAAATTGCCGACCGATATTGGTAAAGTTACCAAAACTGTCGAAACAACACTATATTGTCCAATGTAATTGTTATTGAATCCCTTTTATGTCCCATAAAATTGTTACGGCACAAAACATTAAGAGAAATATTGTCATCGGAGTAATTTGCTCGTTAAATTTCATACTGTTTTCACGCTCTAACGACACTTTTAATTATTTTCGCTACAACGGCACTAATTAATAACTAATTGTCTTTTGCAGTATTTTGTTACGCTCGAATTGAATAAGTTCAATCTGGATTTTACGCATAATAATTATTCTAGCTTGTACCTAAATTATCAGTAAAACAAATAAATGTGTCCATCTCAAGCTGTCTGAGGAGAAATGAAACAACTTATTAGTTAATGTAAAAAAAACATTTAAAGAAAACACTTTTTTAACGGATTGAATCTATGTATTATTATAGGGGGGGGGGGGGGGGGGGGGGGGGGGGGGGGGGGGGGGGGGGGGGGGGGGGGGGGGGGGGGGGGGGGGGGGGGGGGGGGGGGGGGGGGGGGGGGGGGGGGGGGGGGGGGGGGGGGGGGGGGGGGGGGGGGGGGGGGGGGGGGGGGGGGGGGGGGGGGGGGGGGGGGGGGGGGGGGGGGGGGGGGGGGGGGGGGGGGGGGGGGGGGGGGGGGGGGGGGGGGGGGGGGGGGGGGGGGGGGGGGGGGGGGGGGGGGGGGGGGGGGGGGGGGGGGGGGGGGGGGGGGGGGGGGGGGGGGGGGGGGGGGGGGGGGGGGGGGGGGGGGGGGGGGGGGGGGGGGGGGGGGGGGGGGGGGGGGGGGGGGGGGGGGGGGGGGGGGGGGGGGGGGGGGGGGGGGGGGGGGGGGGGGGGGCGGGGGAGGGGGGGGGGAAAAAAAAAAAAAACAGGGCGGGGGGGGGGGGGGGGGGGGGGGGGCGGAGGGAAGGGGGGGGGGGGGGGGGGGGGGGGGGGGGGGGGGGGGGCGGCCCCCCCCGGGGAAAAAAAAAAAAAAACCCCAAAAAAAGGGGGGGGGGGGGGGCCCCCCGGCCCCCAGGGGGGGGGCGGGGAGTTTTTCCCCCAACCAGACCAAAAATTTTTTCCCCCAAGGGGGGGCCAAAATGGGGGAAAACGGTTTGTCAACCAAGGTGGAACTTTTACATACACATAATACATAATTTTAAATTTTTCCGACGTTTCGCGTGATTTACAGCGTGCGTGGTCACGGTGACTGAAGACAAAAGGTGTTGAATGTTAAAAAGTATCACAGCTGTAGAAAAAGTTGTATTATCTGTATTTATTTCCCCGGAGTTGATATCGACTAAAATATGAAAATAATTATAAGTTTATAATAATATACAGCTTCAATCCTTTAAAAAAGTGTTTTCTTTTAATATGTAAAAGTTATGTTAGTAAAAGACAATACTAAAAATAACATCTTAAGTGCTACAACGATTGAATTAGCAGAATTCAAAGCGAACACTTTTTGTAACTAATTTTATGTATTATTTTAACAATTATGTATTTTACTTTATGTTTTTACTTATCACTATCACTATCAGTGGTATCACTTAACATCAGATGAGCCGAGCCTACGGCCCGTTAGCATATTACATAAAAATACCATAAAAATTAATTAAAGCATGCATTTTAATGATTTTTTCTTTTTATGTCACAAGAATTAGTATGATTTCCAAATAAATTAAATGAAAAGTCTGAAGTAGTAACAATTGTTGTCTAACAATGACCAGTATAACACGAATATAGCCGCAGTTACCTATTTTGCGAAATTCAAGATGGCGTTCAATTGCAGCTCCAAATAGCCGAATTACATTTAAATGTGCCAGTCCCGGGCCCAATTCGAGTTCAATTAACCCGTACCACATACCAGTTCAAATAGGAATATCTTTTCGAGGACATTTGATCAATGTACCTATATATATATTATAGAAGGGAATAATCATATCTGCTACTTTTAATGGTCCAGTGAATAGGCAACTGATACAATATAATTGAGATAAACACTTCACGACATTCAAAATAAATACACGAAAAAATATATGCATCAAAATGTTAGGACCTTAAAGTGGCCAGTGTAAGTTGATGTAAGCCTGATGGGAAGTTAGAAAATACATTTTCGGTTTCGCCAGTGTTTACAAAGAGGAGTTTATGTTATAAAGAGGAAATATTTGTATGTTAGTAGATATAAAACTGACCAAACTTTACGATTTCTAAAGTTCTTTTACCTTTACTGTGCAATTACTAATATGTGCTATTATTTAAATATTATTTAAATATATGTTATATTATATATTTGTAAAGTAATTATTCATATAATTATACGTCCAGCATTGTAGTGGTAGCGCTCTCTCTCTTCAGTCAGCAGCTCATGTCTGAGCGTGGTGGTCAGCAACCATCTGGAGCGGACTATCTGTTTCCACCAGTTACTGTGTGTGTGCTTTGATGAAATTATTGTGTGTTAATCTGTCGTCTACAATCACAGGTTATATATTAGATATAAAACTTTTTTGTCAGATTATATGTAATTCCTTTGTGTTGACTTTCTTTGTAATATTAATATACTTTATTTTCAGGTGATGAGTTCGTGTACCGCGACCCGTGGGGCGGTATCAGCCTCATGTTTGCTGCGAATCAGACGTCCAAAACCTTGATGCCAAACACAACATGTGTAAGTATGAAATTCACATTTTCAATTGACGCTATACACGCCCGGGTTCTATTAAACAAATTAATAATTTTAAATAACAAAAATCTAAATTAAAAACGATACAATGATGTTAGAGAAATAAAAGCGACTTTATTTCTCTCATTCTAGACCTCTCTTATAATGGGTGCCCAATAGTAAAACGTTTCGTGGCCACCAAAGTGACTCTTTATACTTAAAAGTTACCATTACGTGGTGTAAAGTAATGGACAGTCGAAAATAATATTAGCAATAACGCGTAATTTAATCCCCGCTCCGCATCGTAACGTTTTACAAAAGGACGCCCCCCCCCCCAAACCCGAAAAATTCGTTACGTAATACTGGAACGCTCCATATGCTCTCAAAAATACATTACTATGAGGCCAATCAAATACGTATGCAAATATGTTATAAAAAGGATATAGATATGTGAAAAAGACTTGCGAACTTATGAAGGCGCAGTGCTAACCAGACCTATACATTTTCCGTACAATCGAGTAGAAATTTCGCAGCATACAACTCCTGAGGGGACGTTCAAGCATCCGCGAATATACAATGTAGAACCTCTATAGTCGAACATCAAGGGAGACGCCAAAAATTTGAGTTATAGAGTTTTCAACTTATGGAGGATTTCGACTTAGGCGGATTTTGATTCGACATAAAGAGTTTGAGGTTTATTCTTATAAATTTTGAGTTAGAGAGCACCAAACTACTTCTGACAGTATTTAAGTTGAAAACAAAATGACTGGCTTAGCTAAATTTCAAAGGGAATCAAAATTGAACACACAAAGCAAGCAAACACGTGTTTCCATGAGTCATAAATTCATTATTGTATACTCCTAAAATGTTTTCTAAGAAACAATAGTGTAATCACATTGTCGGCAAGTTCTTAAAGTCGCTAACTTATTTTTTTTCGAACAATAGAGATAATAAATTCCAAAATGATCAAGTTGTAAAGGTTGTAAAATAAAACGTTCCTAGTTCGAGATACAGAGGTCAAATTTAATTTTTCGAGTTATAGAGTGAAAATATGTACCAAAATGTTGAGGGACTCGTGATATTTCGATTAAAGAGGGTCAAATTTAAGTAAGGTTAAGGGAAGGGAACAAAAAATTTTTTCGAGATTTGGAGGTTTTTGACTTATCGAGGTTCGACTTAACGAGGTTCTACTGTATTAGGTGGGCTAGGAAAAGTTCGTAGGCGGACACATAGATGGCGCTAATAGTATTATGTGAATACAATTTTTAGTTAGCCCTAACATTCAGAAGACACGTGTTTATATTTGACAATTGTCTTACTATTAGTTAGCAGTGGAGTAACAATAGAGTGGCAGGGCTGGCAAAATACCACGGGCCTGACCCAAGAGGACCCCGACCCAAGAGGGATCCCCAAGAGATATTATGTTCTATGAATGAATGTGAAGTCTCCAATACGCATTGGGCTAGCGTGGGGACTACAGACCATTCCCTCTCGTCTAAGAGAGGAGGCCCATGGCCATTAGTGGGACATATACAACGTGTAATTGAGTGCACTGAAAATCTCGAAGTTTATTAAAATGAAACTGAATAGGGACGCTTTTTACTGATAGGGCCCCATCAAAAGAATTGCCACGAAAGAAGATTTGCCACCGGCCCCAGATAGTATAGTTACGCCACTGAATGTAAGGTTGCTAAAATTACTAGGCGAAAGGTAATAAAAATACTACTATATCTAAAGCATTTATGGTCATTTATTTGCATTGGCGTGTAGCCATATCGAATGATTGATAGCTGTTTCAACAGGTGAGAACTTTTGCCGTTGAGTCTACAACTTTGCATTAAAACTTTCTTCTTGTTAAAAGCTTTTAGAAGCTTTACAACGTGTATAGCTATAAAATAGAACGCGTTTTCTTACTGCTGAGTTATATTTGTATACAATTTATTATTATTTCTATGTAAGCTATGAATATTCTAAATACTCTTAATTGTGTGTCCAGAATGAGAGAACATTGTATCTGTACGATTTTGACAGATTCATTTTATACATTTTGCAACAAGTTTGTGACCCAGCATTAATTTATATTTTGATATAAGTATGTGTCTTTACTGAGACACCATGAAACATTACGATCTAGCCTCACTTAAGACTAATAAGTAATTTAAGTCTAACCTAATTTACTAAAAAGGATATTTAACAAAAGAAAGTGTCTAAACACTACTTACAGTCTCTATTAAAGGAATGTGGTATCACTTTTTCTTCACTTACCAAATTTAGCACTTA